TGCCCAGATACTGATATTGATCCTAAATTGACTACCGTAAAGAGTTTCATTCGCTCTGACGACGACCTCGAAATGTCAGCTTTCGAAACTGTTTAAGGTGATTCCTCAGGAAAAAAAGTTATCGAACAATTATTTTTTTAATCTTTCCTCGAATATTCCTTGCCAATGTCTGTCCGAAAAATTCAATAAAAAAGATAGGTCACCGTGCTTTTTTGGGAGATATTAAAGGCCAAACTTACCCTATTTACCCTCTACTGGCACTTATCACGCGCGTTATTTCATCAGTTCACGATACATTTTGCTCCAGCTTGAAACAAGGGTTTTTAAAGTAAAACTTGATAGGAAGAGAGTCTTTAGCGTATGGGACAACTTTAATATATAATTTGCGGGAAAATCACGAAAATTTGAATGACATCGACTCAAAATGTTCCTCGAGTTGTTCCTTTCAAGGTCATAATTAGCATCCTGGAGTAATGGGCTTTGTCGAGCTTTATCTTTGTTTCCCTTCGAAGAACTTTTTTAAAAATTCCCCAATTGAAAGGGGATAAATTTTATACCAGAATTATGCAAAAGAGAAAAATATAGGTCACCGTGCTCTTTCAAGAGCTTAAGACCACCGTACCTCTTTATCTGGTCCATAGATAGAAAGCGCGCGCATATTCCCCTGATTACGTGATCTTTATGCGCAATACAGGATGCACCGTGGAAAACTGAGGAGTCACCTTAAGGTGGCCAATTTTTAATTAAGTTGATAAATCCAAAATGACAAGTCACTGAGGTTGTAAAACCAAAACCAAAACTGTCTGAAGTGAGGGAAACGCGATTGTCGAAGTCATCGAGTCATTCACTCTGCCAAAAGGGCTAACGCCCGAAACGTCGGCTTAAGAAACTCACATACGGTGCTCATTTTACATTTATTTATCAACTCAGTCGACAAAACCTGCACTGCGTCTGAATGGTTGAATCACAGAGCGTAGAGTGTTAAACGATAAAAATAGCAATACTGTAATTATTGGCTATAAGCCGAAACCCCAAACTTTGTACGTGTAGACTCCGCATAACGAGAACCAAAAATAAATCGAAAACATCCGGCTATAAGCCGCGACCCATTCTTTATTACAAGACTAAATTGTTAACGACGGGAAAACTTAACATTTTCTGAAGAAAATCACTTTAATTGTAATATATGAGGCTTAGACGATGGTGATTTATGGTGATTCAGCAACATAATGGAAATATACCGATATCTAGCC